GCCACAACGCTGAGGTTTCGCTACCATCAGCTTCTTTTTCTTCCACGAGCAGCACTTGTATGTATGCGAAGTAAAACGTGGGGAAGAAATAAACGTGCTGTTGAAAAAGCAACGGAGTAGTCAGTCCCTGGGTGGACATGGGGGGCAGCTGAGATGGTGGCAGGGGCCCGCCGCCCTCCACGCCTACGAGCCGAAGAGCGGGGTGCTGGGGTGCAGCACAGCGGGAGGCTGTGATGGGTGCCCCCTTGCCTGCAGGGAAACGGGCGCTCACAGGAAAACCACAAACAATGGTTTTCAGGTTCATGTCCTGAAAATAATTGCAGGCAATGGATTCTCCCCATTTTTTCCTCCTGTTATTTTCTTAATTGAAAGAGATGCTAATATAAAATTAGTATCTGAGGGTATCTCCTGCTACAGGATAACATTTGAGTAATCGGATGTTTTTGGAAAACAGGACTACTAAATTGCTGTTGACTAATGAATATGAATAATGCTTGATACATATTGAAATTCTTCTGTTCCTTTTACAAGAGCTCTGCACATTTTTAGCAACAAAAGCATTTCAAGATTTGTTTCTTCAAGATATTAGTTTAGCATTAATTCTTAAAATTTGTTATTTGTCTTTCTTGTGGCGTTATGGCATGAGCAACTAATAACATTTTCCTATATAAACTACAACACATCTTACAGAAATTACTACTGTCTTTACAGGCACATGCAAATCATTTCTCTTCTTGTTCTAGACGAGTTGGTTGATACAGGTTTGCTTGTCCATAGAATCACAGTTACTGTTCCAATCATGGTACATCTGGGAGTGCAACTCAAAGAAAGCAAAACAAATACATAAAACCTAAATTAAATGGGAGATTATGATCATGTTGTCTTCGCTGCATCCCCTTAGCATGGGATAAATAGATCCAGATGCTGCATGCCAAACAGCCAGCATGTAAACCATGATTAATATACGATTAAAATCATCCTTTGAGACCAAAAGCTTGAATATATATGGTAATTCTAGCTGCAATTTTTCTAGGTAGTGTAGAACCGTACTAAAAATATGTTTCAGATTTGCCTTTGATCTATAGAGTTTATGCTTATAAAATTACAGGCCATGCCAGAAGGAACTAGTTTGCCACCATGTTGCAGGGTCCTAAACTTTGCAAATTATCCATTAAATCTTTGACATAAAACTTCAATGAGCCCATAGCTAGCAAACATTTGCTGTTTAACTGACCATTAGGGTAGTGTATCAGAAGTGCACTTCCTTGCATGGTATTTCTCTACTTGGACTGCAAACTCAAAAACAGAGGCCTAGGATAATTTAATCTCTCAGCAGGCAAATCATTTATAATAAAAACATAAACATAATTTTTACCTTGTGTTCTCAGTTTAGTGAAGGGTATCATATTAGAGGACCATTTGGTTTGGTTTGGTTTGTTGTTTCTCTTTGAAGTTTGTGGTTATTTTTGTTAAAACTGGGGCAGGAGATAACTTCAGCTTACCTGTCTTTAAGTGTCTACAATGCAGTGCTCATATCTGAGCTACCTGTCAAGTTCCCCAATATAGTCTATAGGGATTTGTCTGTGTAGTTAATACAGTCTACAGGATTGAGGGTGCAATCTGCCTGGCCAAATGTAATGCCTGTTTCAGGATGAGAGACAAGTAAATACTCAACACCTGCATTAGAGTAGTAAAATCCTACTCTACATTTCTTCAGGCTGAATCCTGTACTGAAAACAGACTTAATGCTTAGCTTTCCTCTGCAAAGGTGCCATTGATTGACTTTGTCATCCCATTACTCATCTAAGAAATGAAAGAAATAAGAGCTGGCTCATAAAACGAATGGGCAAGTGGCCATTCTGCTGCAAAGCTAGAGGGTTCTCCTGGCTCTTATGGCTGGTGTATGAACATTCGTTGTGTAACTATGCATACGGACAGCATACCCTAAAGGACTCCTGATGCTGAAAAGTAGCTGTCTTTTAATTGTGGTGTCCGTGTGAGGAACAGGGGACTAGTCCTTTATTATCATAGCCACTGTGCTACATGAATGCCTTCATAAATTTACCTCAGCTCCATACTGAAAGAAACCCCAAGCCTGTTATTCTGCTGTAGACCTAATACTCCAAATTCAAGTCTGTTCTGCAATGACATTCCTGTAACATTTAGGATTTTTTTTTTCCAAATTCTATGCTAAATTTATTAATTACTAGTTTACACCATGTATGCTTGTGCCAACATTGATTTCTGGCTTAAATATTTTCCTTATTGTTTACCTCTTTGATGTATTTATAGGCAATTAGCATGCATTCTGTTTCAGTATTTGGCTTGTTAGCCTAAACAAAATAGAGCTCTTCTGAACTGTCCTCAGAAACTATGCTTTCCATTTCCATAGTCATCATGGTGCTCTTTATTTGCACCTATTCCATGTTAGTTCATATTTCATACATGATCAGATTCGTAAATTGTCCCTCAGAGGTGATCTTACTGCATCACTTAGAGTTCTTCACCTGTGCCAGGAATATTTTTACTAATGCATCTTAGTTTATATTTGCTGTGTTATGGTGTCCTAGGCTTATCCATGGCCACCCACTCTGAGGTGCTCCAGCATGACCTCATGCACAGCCACTGATGCTTCAAGGTGTACCTGCTGCAGCGTGGACTTATCCACAGCCACAGAAGCTTCGAGGTGTACCTTGCCAGCGTGGACTTATCCTTGGGCCACAGTGCCTTCAGAGGTATATCTGCTGTGGCACAGATGTAACCATGGCCACAGACACTTCGGGGTGTCCTTCTCCAACATGGACTCATCCACAGGTCACAGTCCCTTCGACTTGAGTTCACTCTGGAGCTCCAGCCTGTCCAGTACAGCACCACAGAAATAGCAGAGATGCCCTGGCCATCTGCCAGCTCAGGCGCATCACTGCTGCTGTTATCAAAATGTTCCCAGGCACAGCAGAGTAAGATGATGAGCAGTACAGCAGTACAGCAAGCAGTGAAAACAAAAAGCAGGCACTAACAAGCACTAGACTCTAATATACAGTAAGGCAAGCAAGCCCCATGGCA